AGTACTACTTTTTAGGACATATTATACATTCTTATAACATAGTTTCTTTATAATAACATTTATAGTTACGGAAAATGACAAATGATTAACGGTAGATGACAAAAAACAAGACTTACTGAGAAACTTTCATCTCGATTATCTATGATCACGGTTAGTATGAAATAATGGATACGTTGGAAAAATGTGAAATAAAATAAGAAAACAACGTTGTTTATCAGAAAAAAAAAGTTAAATTTTAAATATGTAGGTACTACAGAATATGAAAATCACAGAACGAAAATAGTATTGTATAAAATACAACTATACGATTTGTCTTAACAAATAAAATAAATAAACACTGTTTAACTATACAAAAAAATATTTGTATGCGAGAATGTTATTCTACAGCTTCAGGAGCCATTGAAGAGGCCTTTTGAATTCACAAAATAATACGAGCTTCGTAATGGTGTACTTACGACTCCCTCGACGCGAGTATGTTAAAAATACCCAACTCGGGAACACAAATTTGTTGAAATTTCAACTCTTTTATACGAACGATATTTTAAATACGTGCCAGCATTCTCAAATATGGTTTACAGAATTTAGATTATCATTTGAGTTATATCTGTCACAATAGAATTGCATGAATTAAGAATTAAATGTTAGTTCCTTGCTTCAGGTAAATTGTGTATTTGTGTAGAAATAAATAACTTTTGAATCAATAACGTTTTCTATGTATGACTCAGTTTATAGTGTAGATATATTTAAAGATCCTCCCACAGTTGTGTCAAATGATAAAAGTACAAATTACATATAAAAAACAATGTAAAATGTATAAAAAACAATACCATTAAAAAGGTTACAAATTGCTTCACGAAGCTTGTAGAAAATACGATGCCTATCACAATCTACAATTTCATGAATCTGTCCTTTTCAATGCAACGTTCAAAACCTACATATGTACCTTTCAAATTATTGTAGGTGAACAACATGCTAAAGATAGTACAACATTGTAACGAGTAATTCCAATATAAATAAAGCTATATATTTCTACTTAACTCTTTTATTATATTTAACCGTGTTCTCGACGACCATTATGTAATATTTAATATATACAGGGTGACTGGTGAATTACTATCAATATTTAAGGAGCATACTCGGTACATGATTCTCATTCGAATTATGTTAAAAAAAATGGGTACTTAATTTTTGACCAAATTTCCGTATAAATAAATAAAGTGTGGATACATTCCAAATGTTCCAAGTGTGGACGCGTGCGGCGGCGTGCTGATATAACACCACGCCGCCGACGTATGTGTGTGTGTGTGTATACCTAATCTGTAGGGTGTTCACACGATGCGTAATTAATTACACAACTTTTGGTCAACTTTACTTAGAAGTTTATTTATATTTATGTTATATTAATTTTTATTTTGTCATATATGATCGTCAAATATCACGTCCTAAAAATATCGATAGTAATACACCAGTCACCCTGTATATGGTGCTAGTTATTTCCAAAAATATAGTTTAACTCAGACGGTATAAAGACAGGTCTTATAATGTTATATGTATATTACATGTTAGATAATTTCCCTAGACAGTTTAATAGCTTACGGGATTACCATAAAAAGGTAGAGAAATAATAATATATTCTTTTAATTAAAAATTGCAATTTTATGTTGTTCCACAAGTTTAGATCGCAAATTCAATTAAAAGACTTTGTTCCTTTTTACGTAATTGATATAAAAACACATTTCCAAACGTCCTTCATTAATATATTTATATTCAATGCAAATAGTTACGTTTAATATTCTGTTAATCAAACTTTATTACAACACAAATACGAAACATTGTGAGGTTTAATTTAACCAAAGGCAATGCAAAGATCCGTATCTGGAGAGGACAGTAATTCTATTGTCTTGGAAAGCAAGTTATGGTCTGATTAGGATGGTCTTTGTTAATTAAGCTCGTAAATGATAGTTTGATATCACAGGGTTTATTCTTGTAATTTGATTATCATATTTTCACACTGAAAAATTTAGATTCATGGTAACCTTATTACCTCTTATGATTTGTTTCTATATATTTATTTTCTTTTTATGTATAATATTTAAACCGTAACTTTGAACTTGGTTACGAAGATTTAACTTAAAAATATTAGAAAAAGATTTGATCACAAATATTTTTCTTTTGGTAATAAATAAAGAAAAAAAATTAATTGATATTAAAATTTTGGTAGCTTGAAAGCAATCTTTTTGGTTTGAAATTATATAATTTATTTTCTTCATGAATGATTTGGATATTACAGTTTCATTTTTATTTCTATTAAATATTGCAACCAAATTATTATCTGGATTACCTAAATATTCGATTCAATGGGATTAATTAATAATTTACCATAGCTCAAATAATCGAGGATCTGGAAATAAATTAACACTATTAAAGTCGTAGTTAGACCAATTCATGCGAATTAGAGCTAGTAGCTCTCTCTAAATCGGAGGTTCATTATCTTTAAATAACTAGCTGTATTCCATCCTTTCCTTGCCTCACCCGTGTCTTTAGACGTTATCTTTAGGCATCGTGTCACTCTGACACTTGAATCGAATCATCGAAGTGTTTGAGGGGAATATAAATACCCATAATATTTATCGACTTCAGCAGGTGTTTTTGGTTCAGCGATGTAAGTAGTGCGTGGGGTTATTCTTAGTTTTGTTTAGTGACAACAGAAATTGTAACGTAAGGTAAAGGCTATCGAGCTGTCATTCGAATTATCATGATTTAGATATTTTTACTTCGTTCGCATCTTGTGGACGACCCGCACTAGATTAAAGTGTCGTTAATAATAGCCACAGTATCCAACATATCGAATTGCTTCTACAGCTTTAATGGAATTCTTTCGATTTCAACTTCGAGCATTAATGGGCTACCAATCGACTTCTATAGACCTCATGCTAACTTTTACAAGGCGGTGATCGGTGTCGCAATGAACCTTGTTACCTCCTTATTTATATGACTTTTATCAGAGGTAATGTAATTGGTTTGGTTTTTAAACACTCTATTGAGGCTTTGTCAACTTGCGTTGAGGCTTTTATCTGGAAATAATAGTTCATTATAAATAGTTCTGAATTTCGAAAGTTCTACTATTGGCAATTTCTATGTTTTAATGCGAATGCTCCAACTCTCGTTACGCCAACAAATCGAATTCCTACTTTCTCATTGATCTCAGTTCAGGTAAAAGGTACAATTCGGTAAGAGGCACAGCTTCCACTACTTTTTAATACTTGGCCTGACGTCTTCGTCAGTGTTTTGGCCAAGAAATTTCCAAACAAAAATTTTTTATTTAACTTTGCATAGTTCATCTCCCTCTCCAAAGGAAGTTAGTGGCTTAAATCTTATATTAGCGTTTCTGTATATGACTTTACTTCCAACTCGGCAAGGTTTTTCATGTCTCTTTTCCAGAGTGAACATTACACGTCGCTAAATATTGAGTTATTTTTTGAGACCCTGCTGCTGTGTGGTCAAACTTGCTAACATTCAACACACAACTACAACCCGTACGTTACCAGGAATAGTGACTACTGAGAACTGGAGCTTTGATCCGGAGTTACAACACATTTAAGGGATATTGCCTCGGTCACTAGCTACGTAAATAAATTAAATAAATACTTATTGGTTCCAACCTTTATGTACATATGTATAGTGCTACTAATCCGTTACCAGAGCCTCCTCTGGTAAAGTGCCGAAAGCAATATGGGAGAGTAAGAATGACGATAAGAAACTTGGGATGATATGATGATATCTAAAGTTTTTACTAGCATTTATTTAAACAAAACTAAGATTTTTGGATATACTACTCGTTAAGATAATAGTTAGTTGCCAGTGCATCAAATTCAATTTATATGCCACAATATTTAAGATAAACTGCCCAAAAGTTAGTTGATTTATATATATATTTATTTATTTATATATTTTCAACATTGTGAATGCCATAAAATATAACATTTTCATAATTTTTAATTTATTATGCTTGACACATATGTCTTTAACTTGCGGCATTTTCAAAATAAAGTCAATAGGGTCGTGCTAAAACATACGCAATAATAAGATGTTTAAGTGGGGTATAGACATACATAGTACGAGTGCAATTATCTTAATAACCTCTCGAAAAACATACACTCTTGCAGTTTAACTTTCAATTATTGTTTTTAGCGAATACATATATATACAGTGAAAACTTTGCTTGTTCAATTATTGTGAACCTTCTGATGGACACATAACATATATGTATAATTTATCGTGGTGTTATTATATATTATATCAGTTTCTACGTTGTTACATAAAAAGCGAAAGGGAATAAGTAGTATGTAATAGATATCCTATTATATCTTAGATGTTATGTCAAATTACGTGAGAGGTTTAATTCTAGAAATACGTTAGAGAAGCTAAAATTGTTTTTTTATAATAATAGTTTACTTATTTTTAATAAATTTTGTCAACCTATCTAAAGTTCCAAAAGATATGTCATGATTTTTCATCAAGAATTTTCGCCTAATATCAAAAATTACGTGCATAAGTTGTAAGCTGTTCTCATTATGCTAATATAGATGTAGATTATTAAAACATACGGGTCGAGACGCGTAACACATAGAATATTATAATACCTGGTAATCAGTTTGAAACATTTAAGGAATGTTCTAGTTACCTAACTATTGACACAACTCGTCCTGGTGACTAAAACAGGTAGCATTATCGCTACGGTGATTTAGTAATAGATAAACTATTACAACACCAACCCTAACTATGTTAGACACGGTCAGTTTTAATAGGATATTCGACTAAGGTCGTCGTGCATAAAACAAAGATCATAGAACACATTGGTGCAATACAAAAGTGTAAGAAGTGTATTTATTGGATCAATTGTATATGTTTTTGGATTTCGTATAGGTGATTTTAAAATGGAGTTGCTCAAATTATGCTACATTTGGAGTGTATTGTCACTAATTATATTTGAAAGTGTGATGGTTGGGTCGGAGGAGAGTGCATTTCAACTGCCAGTCCAGTTGGTGGGATTCCCATTTATAATTATGGCTGTTCGACTAACGAATTTCGTTAAGAAGCTTTCGTATGCACTGAACCCAGGTAATTTTTAGCGCTGTATTTTAATATACGAATGTGTATAATTTTTAACTTTTTAAATTTGTAGATTAATATGTAGATTTTTTTATCTTTTGAAAAATACGTTATCTAAATGAGCTCTTGAAAGACATATGGTTTCTTAGAGATTTTGAAATACATTCAAAAGTTTTTCTTGTGGTAATACCAATCAGATACTTAATGAGTTTTGTATTCACTTGCTTACTGGCATATATGTTACTATGTATGTATCATATGGAAATTTCGGATGAATTTTAATAATTACTCGTAATAAATGGAAAAGATGTCTTTTTGTATCATACGAGATTTCTTATGCAATAAATTGATGAATTGGATGAAGCTTCATTTCGCTGTAGATTTTTTTTATGTATTTTTAAATGAAAGCTTTGTATTGTTGAGTATTTCAAATCTGAATATGCTTGATTAATAGTTTTTACACCAAAAGTAAATTCGTATATATGAAACTATTACAATATTTAAAATAAAATGACTCATAGTAATATGGGTATTTTTTTACTGCAACTGTATTTATTAAAAGTTTACATCACATATAAAGATGTTGTTGCCAAAATATGACAGGTCAAGGTGATTCTTAATAGTTATTTTGTAAGGATTGTAAAATTTTAATGCTAGTTAATTTATTAGCATCATTAAAATCAATGTACTTAAGGCTTTTGATTAATAATAATTGATATCATAAATACCGTAAGTATTCAGGTAGTAAAATATTGAAACAATAATTAGGTTTATTTCATTTGTCTTAAAAATTTAACTGTTTTCTTAGAACGAATCCATGTAATATATATAAAAAAAACTCAAAGTATCAACGTTTCTATTAAACATTTTCTACGGATTAAGATACGATTAATTAAGTGGAAGTAGGTCGCTGTGTATTTTGTGAATCAGATACGATCACACTCAAAAAAATTATTTAATTGACCTTCAATCAATACCAGTTTTAAGTTTGCTCATCCTGACCTTAAAAATATGCATATAAGTATCAATAATAATCGTAGTTAAATAAAAATTATATCAAATTTAAACCAGATCATTTGAGATTTCTTTTCACATATATTTAACAAATTTTAGAATAGAATTTAAGGAATTTATAATTATATTTTTTTGCATTACATCACGATTAAGGTGTTTTGTTTATTAAGGCACAGTGCATCTAGTCCATAATAAAATAAATATTGCTAAATATCAGCAATCGTTAACCTACTTGCAGTGACCGCTATGACATAACATTGGTTTGTACGATAAAGTAACAGCCGACGTCTTTTCTAAATCTACAGTATGAACCCAGCCTTTCGCGTATTTACACTTATATATAATGTGAATATTCTCAGATAAATATTCATTATTGATTATTGTATTCATAGATTTCATAAAATTTTAATTATAAATAGGTATATGGAAAAGTGTTTGCATTAGCCAGAGAACAATGGAAGTGTGTAAAGTGTTTCTTTTAATATTCTTGTTTTCTATGAATTTGTTGAGTGTCAGCACAGAGGAAACGGCCTTTGAGCTTCCCGTGCGATTAGTTGGTTTTCCCTTTATACTTGGCAGTGTGAGAATAACGAATTTCTTAAAGAAACTTTCCTATTCACTTAGTCCCGGTGAGTGTTATGATATTTAATGTTTTCGCAGAGTCTTATATTTTGATATTTGTTTCTGAAAATTACTTAATTTTTAATAATTTTTAGTAATGTTTGCTATAATTTATAATAAATTACATGGAAACGTTACTAAAAAATGTGTCATTTAATGAGATTTAGATGAGACTTTCGCGGGTAATCATTTAAATGAAACTAATATTTTTCTGATTATTACGAGTAATTAATTATTTTAGCAGCACCAACCGTGATCTCGTCTGCCCGTGATACGAGTTGTAATCCGAAAAATATTAGTTTTGTTTGTTAAGATTTGGTAGCTGCATATAATATTTTCTTCATGTAAAGTGTATTTTGGTGACTTTAAAGTCCTAAGAAACATCATATACGCCAACGCGTAATAGAAACTCGGCCAAACGTATAAGAATACTATTTATTTAACTTATACATAAATAATAAATAATTGTGTTACATATATATAAAATTATATAATATTCCACATAACTATATACATATTTGTTTCGCAAAATAATTTTCTATATATAATGACTTAGTAATGTACTTTCTGTCACATTAGGTAGCAAATAACAGGTTTAACCAGTTTACTTTTTAGATATAAATCACGCTTGAGTACCTTTTGTGAAACACGCAAACAAATATTAACTGCATCAATAATTCTTTTTTGTTAGCTGTAGTACGGCGTGCATTCATAAGTCAAAATGCTCGAATCTAGCAATAGTATTAGAAGCCTATGAACATCTACTGATCAAAAATTATCGGGTCTAAACTGTCTTCTCTAATACGGCTTACTTATATTTAAGGGTAAATGCTTTAATAGGTTTCCTAAATAGTGTTCTCTTACAATGATTGATTCTTAATCATTAAATATAGTTTTTACAGATTTATCTAGGAAGAAGGTAATATTTTTTTGTGACAAAACTTCGTATATAAGATGATTCGTAGCTTAAAGTACCTTAATAGCTAGCATTTTGTTTCTGTACTTATATGAAACAATTGTAGTAAAGGTGTGTTTCGATGAGTTGCCGGAAGCTCTGTGTCAAGTCACTCCGAAAAAACTCACTCACTTTCAATGTTATTGAACTCAATAAAGTGCCTCACGTTCTATAGTTCAAATATTTCTTAGGACAAAAGTCATTCCCGCAGAAATGTTTTAGTTTATAGCAGCATATTTAATTTTATCTTTTATAGCTTCAAAGATAAAATTAAATATGCCGCAACAGCCAACAGTGTTTAAATTTAAATGCTGTGTAAAATAGCCTTTCTAATCTGAGCTACCAATTAGGTTAAAGCAATCAAATTGGATGTCTGAAATGTATTAATTCTTGGCTCGTTTGACTCAGAATAGAAATCAATATAGGCTGCAACAGCTTGGTTTTGCATTCATGCATTTAGAACAGTCCTTATACATGCCCCTGTCGCGTTTCCCCCGCGGCAGGAAGTCTTTAAAAGATTCCCCTCGTAGAAAAAAAAAAAAAAAAAAAAAAAGTCCTTATATTTGAGAATTAAAGTTTTTACATACTATGATAAGTTATAAATATTATAAAACTACTAATTTTGTGATTTTCAATCAAATATGATTTAGTTTGTAAATCCATCTTCTTGTTTCATATTCTTTATATTTTTTTATTACAGAGACATACCGTTCTAGAAATCGTCGTGCCCTGACTTTTGGTGGTGAAGTAACAGAACCTTATGACCCTCAAGATGTTGAGAAATATATAATAGGGGAGTTCGGTACTCGAGCGTGCGTCTTTGAGCGCGTGTGTGCGCATTATGCTACACGTGCGCAAGCGCAGCCCCGGCCGCAAATGGATTGGTCAAACGTTTTTAGGTAATGACAAAACTAGGAATGAAAAATTAATTTTGAAAATACCACAACATTTTAGTTTTACAATCGAAACCATGAACTTAATGACAACCTATTTTTTATTCGTTTAAATGGTCACTAATGTACAATTTAATTAAGAACCAACATGCTAATTAATAGTACCCTATCAAATTCCCCTAAATGTTTTTAATTAGCAGCTAGATCAAACCCAACCTTGACCGGTTTGGTTTCTATATTACAACATTTGATTTTCAAGGCCGTATAATTCGGGTCACGTAATAACGAATTCGCAGTGACCGGACCGTGACGTAATATTATACGCAATGGTTTGCCGTCACGTACGCCATAAGTAATGCGAGGCTAGACATTAAACAAGCGACGGGCGGTGAAATAATATATTTTTATGTCATATACATATATTCCAGAACAAAAAATAAAACATGTAGATACATAGAAAACCATAAAAAACCACATATTATATTAGAAATATACTTTTAATTATCTTTTATTTTTGTTGATCAACTTAATAATTAAAATTATTTTAATGTAGGAATTTCTCAGTTCTCATTCAGTGTTGTATATCCGACGTCCCTATAATTATTTGTATTAATTCTGGTTATTTTGGTACAATGATACATTTTAAAAACATTCTGTTGAAAAGAAGTAATGTATAAAGACTTTTTCTCGGTTAAGATGGACTGCTAGTGGTTTGAACTATGTGTATCGTTCGAGGTAAGCCTCTATTATGCAAGACTGTAAACGTACTTTCACTTATATTATCTATCAAGCAAAAATAAGCTTTATATACATAATCCTACCGTATATTTTATTTGAATGAAATTTACTTTTATAATACGTTATTGCGTTGTACATTGTAATTCAACGAAATAGTCTAAAGTGCATTTTACTTTGATGGGTATTTTAAAATTTAAAATATCGTTGAAAAACATTTCCGTCTCAGGTTTTCCCTCATATCTTCTATATATATATAAATGGATTGCTGTTCCTTAGTCTCGCTAAAACTCAAGAACGGCTGAACCGATTTGGCTAATTTTAGTCTTGAAATACTCCTGGAAGTCCAGGGAAGGTTTAAAAGGTGAGAAAAATTGGGATAATTGCCGGGAAAACCCTAAAAACAGCCCTTTTCTATTTCCCATACAAACGTTTTTTTTTGACATTAGATTTGACAATTAACTAATATGTCAATCATTCTGTTTGACTGAAACAAAAAACCTGATTATTAATGGCCTCTAAGACGGAATAGAGTTCGCCTGGTCAGCTATACCTACATATATTATTCTTGACCAAACTAACGCGGACGAAGTCGCGGGCAAAAACTAGTTATATATTAAAATTCTAAGCATTAAGTCTTTCATAATATTTCAAATGTAAAGAGAAAAGTCCAACACAATATTCTATATACAGTCTTAAGTACTTGTTCATATTTGTAGGTAGGTATATACGAGTATTTAGTTTTTTCTTCTACACGTCCCGACATAATCCGTTCCACTGACTATAAATATGTATTAATTAAATTTGTGTTTTTGAAATAAACGCATTTTACACGTCATGACCGTAAAATAGTAAGAAAAATCTACATGTGTATTTATACATGAGATTTCACTTGTACATTGACTAACTATTTAAAATACTCATATATATATAAAATTTTTTATTACTTTCAGCCAATATAAACAATCCCCGGACCAAGCGAAGGAATTGTATTTACTAAGTGTTTTCCTTGGCGACATCGTCGGGTCACCACAACTCTGTCACCAGCTCGGAAAGAAGAGAGGATGCAATGAACATCTTTTAGATGGACCACAAACATAGAAGAATAATTAGAAGTATAGAGATTTAAACATAAGAAGGATAGAAGATCGAAAGACGCTTAAGAACCATCTATTTACAAACCTAAATAAATCTAGAGAAGAAGCTTTTACTGTAGGGGAGACTTGATAATGGTCTGTTTAAGAACTATTCATGTTTTTTGTCATAATTTTATATATCAAAGAATTGGAGTCCATTCATATTAAAGGGAAAAAGTAATTTAAAATATAATTAAGATATATGTATGTTTACAATAAAGTAATTTGCATATTAGCTCAATGGAAGTGGTTAAGATATTATTTTTAATTAGATTTATTAACTTTAGTTAATTAGAGGTTTAAGATTTTGTTGGAGTGGGTCCTTAAAGCGAGCAATTAAAATTAATTTAATTTCTGATGTGGTTAAAAATTTTATTAATGTATTTTTAATTACCAAAAGTTACCTTTACTGAGCCATTTTCAGTTTTACCAGTAGTTAATTTACCTCAAATATCATTTATTTTCCTTTCATACATATATACTTATATGTAAAATAATTGGTTTTTAAAATAATTTCGTTAAATTTAGGATATTAGTTGTAAAATTAAATCCAAATCAAGTTGAACAATCAACTAGAATAAACTTAAAACAATGATTAGTAATACATAATAATAAACACTCATTTTATAGTACCCAAAGAATATGCCTACTGGGCTATGTAGTTTGGCAGACTATGTAAGCAGATGCCAAAGCATTACGTAAACATTGATCCCATTCAAGGGTTATTATCAAACATTGTGTGAGGCGTGTGATTTTGTTGGGTGTATTTTATTTTAAAATATAATTTTGTTACAAATATTATCTTTCTAATTAAAATGATTTTTTAATGAACGGCTAAACTCAGCTTACGTGACCACAAACATGAAAGACAATAAAAGCCTTGACAAATATTTTGTAATTACATTTCTCAATTTTAAGCAGATTTGTCTTTTAAATATTAACAATTTCAATACGTTAATAATGTATGTTGAGCCATTTATATCCTTTTGTTGAATAAATATCCATATTGTTAAAGACATACTTATTTTTTTGTATTGCCTAAGTGTCAAGCGATCAAATAGGATTACTAGTTTCACAACTAACCGTAGTTTTACAAAATTTTGTTGAAAATGAAGTTTATATAAATTATTTTCATATGTATGTATATTTATTATGGGTATATACTTATTACGAATAAACAAAAATAACCGTGAATTATTCCACGAAGTTGCCAGAATTTGATGTTTTCATTTTTGTATTAAAACAAATTATTAATTAATAAACTTTTCCAATGTTACGTTTTTGTGTGTTTCAATAAAACTTTCTTTTTTTAGGCTGTATGTACGTATTTAAGTAAATATAATATAATAACTGGGATAATAAACAAATTGAAGCAAAGCAGATACTCATATTTGTTGCTGTCCTAAATAAATAAATTTCCAAAAGAATAAGGATTATCCCTGATAAAATAAATGAAATATGGTATGTTAATAGCCCGATCTCTCCTTCAATTATTTATTCACAACCCGCCGGAAAAGCTTTCCGTTGAAAACAAACATAGTAGTAATTGTAGAAGGCATAATTTTGTTATTAAAATGAAATCCGATTAAAAACTGTATTTAACTGACTTGATCAACCTAAACTTTAATGAGATTTAGTTTTTTCAACCGACTTTTAAAAAAAGGAGGTTCTCAGTTAATCGGAACCCTTTTTAAATATATTTTCTCGAATACTTCTAGACGAATAAAATAAATTATTTTTCTACTAGACCCTTAACTTCGTCTATAGAATAATAGAAATTATGGTGGTCAATATTTGAAGCGCCTTTAAAGAGACAATTATATAAATATAAAACATTTGAGACTAGTACAGATAAGAAAAAACCAAAGGAATAAGACGTTTGGCTTTTGCAAATGGTAAAAAGAACATTTAAATATTCACTATGTATCTAAAATATTTTTATAATTAAAATTACACTAGTAAGAACTATTTCTCTCATGTTATTTGTTTTTTCGTTACTGACATTTAAAAAGAAAGTCGATTTTGTTCCAAATGTATGCCATCTAGTGGATATTTGTGAATACATTTTAAAACACAGCTTAGCTTAACCTACTAGTATGAGCATCTTAAATGATATTTTAAATTGTCACTGGTAGATGGCGCTATTTAAAATAGTTCTTTCCGTATTCTTTAAGTTACCCTGTGCTCCTAATTTCTTTTAACATTATGTTAAATAATTAAGAAGTCTTTATTGTTTTATATTATCATTTTATATTGTCATAACATGACCTTCATTTTTATTATAATTGAATATTACAACACAGACAAATAATACAGGCAGCTTTCAAATATAATTAAAAAGAAATACTTAATTTGTATGTATATTTAAGAAAATTATAATTAATTCTTTTGTATTTTTATTTTTTATCGTTAAAATAATCTTATTTAACTTATAAAATAATTTTATAATTTGGATTTTAAAACAAAAAATAATAATGTTTTTCTCTTAGTAGAATTTTTTCTCAATGATTGTTCCCAAAAATATTTTAAAAATATATTTTAAGTAGGATAAACATTATCTAACGATAAGTATGTGACCATAATAATATTACATACCAGCTGTTACCCACGAAAATAAAAAACAGTACCATTTTTGTCTCCAAACGTAGTTCTTAATTAGGAACCTTTTTGTTTTGTCCTTGACAATTAAACAATTTGAGTCCCTTAACGGTTATATTGTCTGAATTAAGTTATATAATTGAATGAATTATTGAATTTCAATATCTTCCGTAATTTTAAGTTTATATAGAAAAATAATCATAATTCTTGTACCAAAAACTGCAAAAAAAACAAAAATGGTAGTATTAGCTTACTATTCTTCCACTTTTTTGATAACAAAACCTCATTGAAAGGACATAATGGGTGAGTTTTCCCAAAATTTTGCAATAAATCATTTACATAACATATAGACAGCTTATTAGGACTATTCATGAGGATTCCGTATATATAAAATAAATAGTGATAATATCAACTGGATGGATAAGAAATGTTTGAAATTTTAATCGGAGACTAATGAAGCAATAATGAACCAAAGCTAATTCTACTAACGACATTACTTTAAGTTAAAAATGACTTTCAAATTCTTCTGGTTGGACAGTATTTTTATCTGTAAGTATATAAATAATGGAAGTGTTTGATTTAATGGTCAAAAACATTATGCACTTAATAAGTACGTTGTAGATACTAAAATAATAATTGTTTCTTTCCCGCTAACGCTGTTAGGGGAAGAAGTATACGAATTTAAACCTTAAGTCTCATTTTGTCTAAAAGGAACCAGAGAGGCAAAGTTATGGGCAACAGTTAGTTTTTTATTGTAGTTTATATAACATTTCTTCCGCCAAGTTATGATTGATGTAAAAAAAATAATGGGGAGTTTTATAGCAGAAATTAATCGAAGTACGTTCCTTGGATAACATGATATTTATTATAGATTACAATTAATAGAAAAGACTTATAGAGCCTATATAATAATAATTATAGGTTTTTTGCATAGTTTATTGTTGCAATATCATCCTAATAAAAAAAGTGGAAATCTAACAAATAGTAAATATATATTAAACTTTTATGTAACAAAAAGGATTTTTTATCCTTTTAAGAACCAAAATTCAAATACATATTGTAATTATCAGTTCAGAAGACTAAATTCTTATTTACAACAAGTAATACTGCAAACTTTGATATAAATATATTTTAAAAGCATTTTAAAGATATATTGACAAAAATATGTAATATTTTGATCAATAATATCTTCTAACATTTCTTAACCGAACATACGAAAATTAAATTCACAACTAATTTGATGGATTTTTTGTTGTTAAAATTATTTGTAAGCTTAATATAGCATACTAATACAGCATACTAATACAGCTTCAAGTATGTCTCAAACCCTAGACTTTAATATCCCAAGAAACAGAGCCATTATTAAGTAGAGTGTTGCAAGTCTTCAAGGTACCTTACATACATTCTAATGATTGTAGTCACCAACGGTAACAAGTGTATTAGATTGTGTTACCTTAATTATGTCTGTGCAAAAACAAACAAAATATAAATGTTACATATGAAAAACAATTTGACATCTAACAGCATTATAAACGTCGGGAGTATATAGTTTCAAATATTTAAAAAAAAAACGCTCAGGTTGTACATACGAAATTACTTCTTTTATTTAAATGAATACTCGCGAAAGTCTTAGATATCATTAATATAGGCATGTTTGTGTAAATGAATAAGAACTATCTCGAAAAATTTAAATGGGCTGCGCAATTTTCCATATTTTATTAATTCTTAAACTTGAAAATTCTGCGACGAGTTAAAATTACTGTTTCGTAAAAAGTATATATGTTTTGTATGTAATGAGCACACATTTTAATAAATAAAATATTGTAAAACAAAAATAAAATTAGCTGTGTATAATAATGTATACAAAAAAGGGGTCAAACAAACTTCATGTATTAAAAATGTATTCGAAAAAAATAATTGTTTGAAATAAAAAATATATAAATAACTAAAATTTATTTAAATAAAAATTAAAATGGTTTTAGACCACATTTGAAATTTTTATTTATTAATATTATATTTTAATGCTTAAATTATTCTTATATCCCATTTATTTAAAAATAAATAATGTATATTAACTGTAATTTATTTAAGTTCATAAAAAAGACTAAGCTTTTAGAAAAAGAGCCGTCGTAATTTATTACGTTTCTTGATTACCTTCAATGATAATGTTCTTCAAGAGTGATCCAAAGAAATTGTCATAATATTAATGTGTCTGTTTTATTTCATTACATATGAATTGAATATAAATGATATTAATGAAAAAAAAACGTTTAAATTAATCTATCTATGTTTTCAAATGAAACTGTATGTACAAATAAACAAAGTAGTAATAAAATATTTGTAAAGGAATTTAAAACTCCACCTTTA